ACTGTAAAAAAAAAAAACTCTGTTAAACATCATTTGGGAAATATTATAAAAATAAAATCACAGGAAGACGAATAATTTTGACTTCAACTGATAATCGTTTTGATAAATCGTGATTACAATTATGACCAAAATAATCGTGATTATGATTTTTCCCATAATCGAGCAGCCCTAGCCATTATAATCATTTTTTGATTGCACAGCCATGACAGCAGATAATCATGCATTATTGATTGGTGGTTTTCCCTTTTGGGAAAAGGTATTGTAGATCATCAGTTGGCAGCATTAACACTTTAGATAGGCCTGTGCAAAAAGATTTCTGCCTTTTATATGGAGTAAAACAGCAAATTATAGAGTGTGTGAGCAGCGATACACTTACTATGTTTACAGTGTTCTGAGAGCTGAGGGGCTTATTTTGATTTACTCCGACATATCAAAATGAGCACAAAGGTCTCTCTCATTCTCTCTAAAACCCACACTATACTCCATATAAAGGTCAGAAACTACGTTGTTTTTGCACTGCATCTGATGATCAACAGCAAAAACGACCAATTGTTTCTCTTCCCAACAGGCAAAACCAGCAACAATCAAGAATGCATGATTATATGCTGCCATGGCAAGTCAATAGGTGAAAACAGCCACTAACACAACAAGAGTAAATTTGCCCAGAGTTTGTTGAGTTTTTGAAAAACTCCAAACCATTTTCACAAAATGTGTCAAAATAAGATTAGTCACCAAAAATCATTCTATTAGCTGAAACAGAAAAAATGTGAGCAAATTAAGACTCAAAATCAGCCCAGAGAGTGGATGAAAACATCCCAACAGCACACAACCATTAACACCAAACAACACACGCATCTATACCTCGAGGTAAGATACAGCTAGCACAAATTCACAGTCTGTGCGTTTAGCTTTCTCCTGGAAGATTCGTCGTATCACTCGCGGGATCACCCCGACCGTGGGCTCGTTCTCCTGTTCGGATGTGTAAGTGCCGCCCATAGAGAACGTCTTGCCTGACCCCGTCTGCCCATAGGCCAGAACAGTGGCGTGATAACCTGCAAGTACAAACAATGAACATATCCATTACATACTGCAGATTTACCCCTTATGCATGAAAAATAAGGCCCAATCCCATTTTAAACCCCTTTCCCTTGGCCCTTAAAGTGCGAAGGGCTTCAAATTTACCCCTATGAAGTGGGACAGTACTTCAACACAAGCACACTTCACATGTCATTATGAGCTCTTCATACGAGACCTGCTGTAGTTATTCCAGTTTTTTGGGGTATTTAGCTTTAGGAAATAACTGAAGGCAATTATATCTTATTATCATAATGATATAATATGGCAATAAGCTCGTAACACTACTGTGCATTCAAACAGTGGCCATATTCATTTATGTAAACACACGAAAACAACATTAACATTACAGCACACACTGTGGAAAGCTCATTCCCAGCCACTAGACAGGGTATTCCAGTGTCATCGAGTGACAGGTGTGAAAGTATGTTGTACAGTAGTTAATATTGTGGATTATACGAAGACAATTTTATCTAAAACATATGTTTGTTTGTTTGTTGTCAAAATTTTTTAAAAGGTCTGAAATAAATCTGGGAAGTTTTTGTACTCCTTGGTTTCCAGTGTGGTTGTGGAAAATCTCCATTTCAAGCGCTTCCCCTTAGCCCTATGCTATTAAGCTAAAATGAATTGGGACATCCCAAACCCGTCCCCTGAATGCACAAAAGCAAGCAAAGGGCTAAGGGGTAGAATTGGGATTGGGCCAAAGTCTTTGTTGCCTCCAGAATTGGTCCTGGGACTGCTTTAGGCCATGTCTACACTAATCCGGACAAATTTGAAAACGGAGTTTTCCTCTAAAAACGCTTCACGTCCACACTGTCGTTTCCATTCGTTTTCCAAAACTTTGTCATCCACACTGAAACGACTACCAATGCTTTCAACCTGTACTGCGCATGCGTGAAACGTAAGACGCTTCGTCACGCATCATTTCCGGCTGACGTTTATTTTCTTTCCGGCTCTTTAAAACGTTGCGGCAAAATGTCAAGGAAAAGCACAGAGTTTTTTAAATGGACTGACAATGAAGTAGAGTTGCTGCTTCGAGTAACACATGAATACAAAGTTGCAAAAGAGAGTGGAAATGTAGACTGGGAGACGTGCCAAAACAAATATGCCGATATACTGGACCGCTTTGAAGAACAGTATCCTGCTGATGACGCTGCTTACCCTCACAGTAAGGACGACATCACTAAAATCATAATCACAACGAAAATAAAGTAAACGAATTAGTAACATGACTGAGTGTCACATGACAAAAAACGCGTCATCGTTTTCGAAAGACTCCGTTTTCACAGTCTACACTACGACACGAAAAAGTCGTTTTCAAATTTATCCACTTTGGAGAGCGTTTTCAAAAAGATACGTTTTTGTTTCCTAAAAACGCGTCTCAGTGTGGATGGAAGGGCAAAACGGAGACAAAAATATGCGTTTTCAAATGAAAACGCATTAGTGTGGACATGGCCTTACAAACCTTTAAAAAGTCCAGATAATAAAGGAGACACCGCAGTGTTGAAAACTTCCTCCTGTTCTGTTGTGGGGTCAAACACATAATCAAAAGTGAACGCCTTGTCGTTGCCAACAATCACCTGAAATAAAAGGAGAAAAAAAAATGACTATTAGGATTTAACAGCATGACATGATGCACAAGTGTTAAAGGAATGACCTGACACACACAGACCTGAGGTTCACTGGGTACAAAATTAAGACAGCACTGGCATCCCTCATTGATCTCTTTGGGCACCAGAGGTCTGCATCTCAATGCAACCCTCACGGGAATGGCCTTCTCGTCCTCCTTGGTCATTCTGGAAAAGCACATGATGTTGAATTACAAATTACAATCACATATCGTCTAACAAAGACAGTGCGCACAGAGCAAGACGAGCCCATTAGAGAGTTTCTGCAGGTTTCACCAAGTCAAATTTGAGACTTGAGACCTTTTTACCACCATTATAGATTAAATGTCAAAGGTGTACAGGGCTAAACGCTAAGGATTTATTGTAATGGGCCAGTGGAAACGATATTACTGGATTAAAAAAAAAAAATCAATAAATACAAATTGAGATTTTCTAGCCAAATTATAAATAATGTGTGTTAAAACAAGTAAACTGCTCTGTGTCAGCTGTTATGGAGATAGAGGGGGAAAGTGGATGAAATGTTTCAACATCGACAACAGTTTCACAAATGTTTTTTAGCAAATAAAAAAATAATAATAATAATACAATTTGACACTATTTAAAATGCATATATGATTATGAACTAAACTCTTCAAGCATGAGCTCTAAATGTGGGATGACAGTTCAATCGACTTTTTTCTATATTATTTCAATTATATAGCCTCAAAATTTAAATTTCAACTTTATATTATATCTAAACTCTTTACAATATCTATATAAGTTACGTGTCTGGGAAATACACAACTTAAGCCAAGTTCAGACTTTAACCTTCATAATAGAATTTCAGGAATGTATTTATGCTAAATCTAAATAGTGAAATAATATTATCAGGTAATGACTATCAAAGTACAACACTGTTGACGGTCGAATAGTGCTAATGTTGTTTTGAAGTCATACTTATATGCAATTTCAGACCCAAGATTCAAAGTTGGCGTGGTAAACAATATTGAGAGGGTGTCAAGTTGTGGTTATTATAATAGGTGATTATAATTAATCTGTATAAACCTTTTAAATTCTGTTTTAGTATTTTATTGAACGCCAAAGTCCAAATATGTGTGAATATGAAACCACCTTCAACATTGCCTCAATAATAAAAACACTAGCTTTATGAAACTAATAACGTTAACGTTATAGCAGACAGCTCATAAATAGCTGTTTACAGTAACAAACAAAAAAAGGTTAGGCAAGGTTTAACAACTTTTGTCCACTAATGTGTGTATTAAACATAGTTAAAGTAAATAACTTGATTAAAGAAATACAATACAACGGGCCTAAAGCCTGACCGCACTTGACGCAATTATCCACAAACATCAAATACACTTTCTAATTTAACGTCACATGTATATAATGACTACACTCGAACTAAACATCGAAAAACTGTAAAAAAAATAGAAATAAAGAGCTTTAAGAACTGTGATATTATTGTGAACTCATCCTCACCTTCCGCTCTGCGTCAACCGCTATGGAGCTCGAAGAGAAAAGCGCATTAAACGTTATTTCTTACACAATATCGACAACAGTTTCAAACTAAACGACATAAATCATAATCCTAGTCGCCCTCGCATGAAAGTGCTATATTAAACAGACTCAAATAGACGCCGATAAAAGTTCCAGATGGATTAATCCGGGAATAGCGTTTATTTCTGAGTCGGAGGAAAGATCCTGCCCGCCACTTTCAAATAAGCAGCTCCACCTCCGGCGTCATGACGTCATCACGCAAATACACGTTCGACCTCACCGATTGAGTAAACAGAGCAACATTTTGGAGAGTACAGTTTTTTTATTGAACCAAAAGATTTTAAAAACACAAGACTTCTTTTATATTCTCAAGCAGAAAATTAAAAGTGACATTAATGTGAAAGTTCTACTACAAACGGATTAATTCTGTTTATAATGATTTCTCTTTATATTATAGATGTAGGTTTTGGGGTTTTACCAGGGTATTGCACTAAGCAAACGTTAAATATATTCATTCATTCGTTTTCTTTTCGGCTTAGTGCCTTGATTAATCCGGGGTCGATTAATAAAGATAATTTAATACATAATACGAATGATTATTATTAACTTCGAGCCGCAGCTGTATCCCTTCCATAGATATATACAGTATATAGTGTAAACATCTATGTTAGGCATACAGCTGCGGCATCTGTTCCAGCAACAGCTCCACTCCAGCACAGCAGCCGGCGGTGTGCGCTAGTGCAGCAGAAGAAAAAGGAAGCATAACCCGGAAGCGTTGTGTCCAGTCTGCTGCAACGACTGCATCGGCTGTTAGCAGGGCTGTAAGCCTAAAGATGGCAGGGGTGTTTGAGGTGGAGGTTGACGGAGTTGAACACGATCATGGACACGGACATCACGAGGACGGCAAGGTGCGAATACACTCATAAAACACACAGCAGAACAGATATTATACTGTATATAATGACAAGCCATTCATTCCTCAGATGTACAGCAGAGGGGGTCAGGCTCACAGGCTGCTCAGTCCTCCATGCCTGATTATTACACTATTGCGAAGGAGAATACTGAGTTCTATAGGGATATGGGGATTATTGATGTAGTGCAGAGTACACTGTGGGGTTTGTTGTCACAGAAGCGCATTATTGTTTCTTTCCGTATTACTATTATTAGCAGTGCTGTCAAACGCTTCCGTTATCTATCTATCTATCTATCTATCTATCTATCTATCTATCTATCTATCTATCTATCTATCTATCTATCTATCTATCTATCTATCTATCTATCTATCTATCTGTCTGTCTGTCTGTCTGTCTGTCAGATTGTCTGTCTGTTTATCTGTCTGTCTGTCAGTCAGATTACCTGTCTGTCAGACTACCTGTCTGTCTGTCAGATTACCTGTCTGTCTGTCTGTCTGTCTGTCTGTCTGTCTGTCAGACTACTTGTCTGTCTGTCTGTCAGATTACCTGTCTGTCTGTCAGATTGTCTGTCTGTCTGTCTGTCTGTCTGTCAGACTACCTGTCTGTCTGTCAGATTACCTGTCTGTCTGTCTGTCTGTCTGTCTGTCTGTCTGTCTGTCTGTCAGATTATCTGTCTGTCTGTTTGTCTGTCTGTCTGTTGTCAGACTACCTGTCTGTCAGACTACCTGTCTGTCTGTCTGTCTGTCTGTCTTTCAGACTACCTGTCTGTCTGTCTGTCTGTCTGTCTGTCTGTCTGTCTGTCAGATTACCTGTCTGTCAGATTGTCTGTCTGTCTGTCTGTCAGACTACCTATCTGTCTGTCTGTCTGTCTGTTAGATTACCTGTCTGTCTGTCAGATTGTCTGTCTGTCTGTCTGTCAGACTACCTGTCTGTCTGTCTGTCTGTCTTTCAGACTACCTGTCTGTCTGTCTGTCTGTTAGATTACCTGTCTGTCTGTCTGTCTGTCAGATTGTTTGTCTGTCTGTCTGTCTGTCTGTCTGTCAGACTACCTGTCTGTCTGTCTGTCAGACTACCTGTCTGTCTGTCTGTCTGTCAGACTACCTGTCTGTCTGTCTGTCAGATTACCTGTCTGTCTTTTAGATTGTCTGTCTGTCTGTCTGTCTGTCTTTCAGATTGTCTGTCTGTCTGTCTGTCTGTCTGTTGTCAGACTACCTGTCTGTCAGACTACCTGTCTGTCTGTCTGTCAGACTACCTATCTGTCTGTCTGTCTGTCAGATTGTCTGTCTGTCAGTCTGTCTGTCTGTCTGTCAGATTGTCTGTCTGTCTGTCTGTCTGTCTGTCTGTCTGTCAGATTGTCTGTCTGTCTGTCTGTCTGTCTGTCTGTCTGTCTGTCAGATTGTCTGTCTGTCTGTCTGTCTGTCTGTCTGTCTGTCAGATTGTCTGTCTGTCTGTCTGTCTGTCTGTCAGATTGTCTGTCTGTCTGTCTGTCTGTCTGTCTGTAATCTATCTTGTAAATAGTTATTCAACATGTTAGTGAACTGTGAAATTTAGTAATGTGCATGATTCAAGCATTTTTGCTCTGTAAATGTGGAACAGAAGGGTAGAATTAATATGTGTTGTGTTTCAACAGATTGATTTGTCCAGGCTCTCACCAGAGGAGAAGTGGAGGTCTGTGTCTTTCTTTATTCATCTATTATATTGAATCATGCATACAATGAAGACTATAGTGTTATTTTTACATCAGCTTTTTCAATTGATGTACCTGAATACTGTTAGACTCAGCATAAAACACTGTATATTTCACTTTTATCTTTGCTCTATTCTCATTTTCTATGTCTTTTTATGCATAAATTCCCTCACTTACAGAATAATCTCAAATCTACCTTAAATATAGAATACTTTCCTAATAGAGCTGTTCAAGCTATCTGGTGAATTTGTATTCAAATTGTAATGTATACTTCCTAAAAAACTAAATATCACCATGTTGTATTTTCCATGTCGTGCAGCCCTAGTTACTGTAGGAGGAAGTGTAGAGTCTTGAGCACATCTGAAACCATTTCGCCCAATTCTTCATAACTTTTACACACTTTCTTACTTTTTATTTAATACAATTTATAATAAAAAGTTTTATTTAATAAAATGACTGGAGATAGTAATCAATGGCTGTCAGGAAAGCTGGCTTAAAGTCCTCTATTTCCGATTTCTTTCTGATTTTATAGTCCGCAATCCCCTTATTAAGCTAACCTGCCGACTGCTTTTGAAAAAATTCAGCTCAAAAAGACTGAATGCAAGTCCTTTTAGAGCCTAGGATTGTGCTAAAAATAATCCTTAGCTGTTGGTCTGGCAGAATAAACAATACGTTTTCTTGCATAATCTATTTTTAGAATCCAGAAACACACAACAGCTGGTGTTTTAATGAGTCAGGGTATAACAAAAGAGCTTATTTCAGTCCACTGCGTTATTTCCTTTCTCATGTTCTTTTTCCACTTGTTTTCTGCTTTAACAATATATAAAAAAGGGTTGTGATCTGTAATGCTGTCAAATGATTAACTGCAATTAGGCCTGTCATAATCAATATATGGACCTATCGCACAACACATGGACATGACCTCAGTTGTTTTTGCTGATGCAATATATATATATATATATATCACCCATACATAAACACCAATTCAAGCAACATTTCAGCGGATTGTGCAACATCTCTATCTCTATTGGAGGTGTCAGTATGGTTAAAACACTAGTATTTACTATAAATGACTATATTTTCATATGTGTGTGTCTGACGACGTGTCGAACCAGCAACCTTCTTGCTGTGAGGCGACAGCACTACCTACTGCGCCACTGCCTCGCTCATATGTGTATATATATGTATATGTATATGTATGTGTATGGGTATGGGTATATATATATATATGTGTGTGTGTGTGTGTGTGTGTGTGTGTGTGTGTGTGTGTGTGTATACATATACATATATGTTTGTGTATATATATACTTACATACACACACACACACACACACACACACACACATATGTATATACATATACATATATATATATATATATATATATATATATATATATATATATATATATATATATATATATATATATATATATATATATATATATGTGTGTGTGTGTGTGTGTGTATGTATAAAAATATATATATTTAAGCTATATATATATATAAAAATATATAACTTAAAGGGGCTAATAATATTCACCTTAAAATGGTGTTTAAAAACTTAAAAACTGCTTTAATTCTAGCCGAAATTAAACAAATCAGACTTTCTCCAGAAGAAAAAATATTATCAGACATACTGTGAAAATTTCCTTTCTCTGTTAAACATCATTTGAGAAATATTTTTTTTTAAATTCAAAGGGGGCGAATAATTCTGACTTCAACTGTATATATTATAGAAGCTTACTGTAAACCAGGACCATTTTTTACCGCTAAAATCTTTTGCAGTGCAAGATTCGTGAAGATTGTTGAATGATCATGTAATTGGTACATAATTGTAAGTATTTTTTCTGTTTTGCAGGTTGGATCATGCGAAATTGCATGCCAAACACAAGGGGCATGAAGCCATGCATGCAGAGATGGTTCTCATTCTCATCGTCACGCTCGTCGTTGCGCAGCTCGCCCTGGTTCAGTGGAAACAGAGACACCAAAAATCATACAACGTGAGTTATTTACTCCTCGCACACAATAATGTGTGTTCACAGTAATGCTTTCAGATATGCTTTCTTCTTCATTCCAGATGACTTTATTAATCAGTGATTTGAGTCATGTCAGAGATGTATGGATGCAGTCCTCCAAGCTCATGATGGAGTCAGACACAATATTCATTCTGTCTCCACTGCAGCAGGACTTTATATTCTATACTGGACATTATTTCTGTTCAGTGATGACACTTTAGTCTGAGCAGAGTCAGAGCTTACTGTCCTTATCAAATCATTAATAATCAATGCATGATCAGATTTTATTGAGCTCAAATATGCAAAATCTAGAGGCCTTTACCTTTCATATAAGCCACTTCTGATATCAGGAGATCAACTAGAAGTTATTATTTGTTGTTCCTAAAACTTGAGATGTTTGTCATGTAGTGTGCATATTAATGTGTTGTATTCTTTGTTTGTTCTTTTAGATGGTAACGCTCTTCCAGATGTGGGTGATTCCTCTGTACTTCACCTCTAAACTGCACTGGTGGAGGTTTATGGTGGTGTGGTTCACCTTCTCTATTATCACGGCTTTTGTCACTTTTCGTGCCACTCGCAAACCCCTGGCCTGCACCACTCCGAGGTAAAAATCACATTTACACCATCATCTCACAGCCGCAACCCATTACTGGGAAACATCCACACACACACCACAGAAAATGTTAGCTTCTGTAGATATTATTTCTTCTACATTATATTATCTAAAACGACTAAAATATCAGTAAAAGTCACCTTGTTAAACCGCAGAGTTGAATTTTCACCATCAGAAGTGGACACAGCAGAGATCAACATCCCATAATGCAGTTCACCACCGCAAATAAGCACAAATACAGAGATGGAAATAGCTCCCGCGTCCAGCGTTGTTCATATTTATGATTGTTTATTTACAGTGGTGTGAAATAGTGTGTGCCCCCTTACTGCTTTCTCATGTTTTTGCATATTTTTCACAGTTTAATGTTTCAGATCATCAAACACATGTAGATGTTAGTCAGAGATAACACGAGTACACCCATCATGCAGGTTTGAAATAATAGTTTTTGTTATGCAAAGCTACATAGTAGCCCTGTGTAAGGGTGCTGTCTACATCACTGTGAATCTGAAATACGTTACTTAGAGTGTGTTTTGTTGTACGTTTCAGATGTTAAATCCACTAGAGGGCGCTGTCTACATTATTGCGAATCTGAAATACGTTACTTAGGGTGTGTTTTGTTGTATGTTTCAGATGTTAAATCCACTAGAGGGCGCTGTCTATATTATTGTGTATCTGAAATACGTTACTTAGAGTGTGTTTTGTTGTACGTTTCAGATGTAAAATCCACTAGAGGACACTGTCTACATTATTGCAAATCTGAAATACGTTGCTTAGGGTGTGTTTTGTTGTACGTTTCAGGTGTAAAATCCACTAGAGGGCACTGTCTACATTAATGCGAATCTGAAATACGTTGCTTAGGGTGTGTTTTGTTGTACGTTTCAGGTGTAAAATCCACTAGAGGGCACTGTCTACATTAATGCGAATCTGAAATACGTTGCTTAGGGTGTGTTTTGTTGTACGTTTCAGGTGTAAAATCCACTAGAGGACACTGTCTACATTATTGCAAATCTGAAATATGTTACTTAGGGTGCTTTCACACCTAGACTTTTGTTTGGGAACCCGTCTCGTTTCCTCAGTTAGCGCAGTTCGTTTGGCATATGTGAATCCAGCAATTGTGCTCGAAATCCACGCCAAATGAATTGCTCAGAGATCGCCAGAATGAGGTTGTCTCGGCTCAATTAAGAGGAACTCTGGATCGGATCGATTGTAGTGAGAAAGCAATAAGATTCGAGCGCGGTTATATCACAGTGTTTTATGGATATGTAGTAGGCTTATGGCTATATGAAGAGAGAATTATGAGTAGGGCTGGAGGTCATTCAACAGACATCCCAAGTCTCGCGGAAGTTTCGAGAGTCTCTCGCAAATGCACAGAGACACCCGAATGCTCGCAAACGAGTGATAATCTCCCAGTAATCGCACGTCTCCCTCCCTGTCCTTAAATACGTCATGCACCCTTCTCACCCCTCCCCACTGCATCCCTCCTCACTCTTCAGACACGTCGCGCACACCTTGTCAAACACAACCAAATCACCACCCACTGACAGCTGAGCGGGAAATAAACCCTGAAACTGATAAATGTGAGGAGAGTTTACTCGCACGTGACTTGTTTTAGCTCTTTTGGTTCGATTAGAAACTGTGCAGTGTGAAAGTGAACCGCACCAAGAGCAAACAGCAACAAAGTAACAATTGTAATCTCTGTTTCAGAACAACTGAATTGATTCCCAGGTGTGAAAGCAGTCTGAGGGTGCTTTCACACCTACACTTTTGTTTGGGAACGTGTCTCGTTTACCCAGTTAGCGCGGTTCGTTTGGCATATGTGAACAGGGCAATCGCGCTCTGTTCTGCGCCAAAGTAATTGCTCTGAGATCGCTTGAATGAGGTGGTCTCGGCTCGATTGAAACGAACCCTGGAGCGGTTCGATTGCAGTGAGAAAGCGATCCGATCCGAGCGTGGTTATATAACAGTGTTGTATGGATATGTAATAGGCTTACGGCTATATGAAGAGAGAATTAGGAGTAGGGCGGGAAGTTTCGCGAGTCTACGGATAACTGCAAACGAGTGATGATCTCCCGGTAATCTCACGTCTCCCTCCCGGTCCTCAAATAGGCATCGTCGCGCACCCTTATCACCCCTCCCCACCGCATCTCTCCTCAGACACGTCGCGCACACCCTGTCAAACACCACCAAACCACCACCTCTCCTGACAGCTGAGCGGGACTCTGCAAAATAAACCCTGACACTCTGACCAATGTGAGGAGAGTTCACTCGCACGTGACTTGTTTTAGCTCTTTTGGTCCGATTAGAAACTGTGCAGTGTGAAAGCGAACCGCTCCAAGAGCAAAGAGCAACAATGTAACATTTGTAATCTCTGTTTCAGAACAACTGAATCGATTCACAGGTGTGAACACAGTCTGAAAGTGTTTTCTCTCTTTCTCTCTACAGGCTGGTTTATAAATGGTTCCTCCTCTTTTATAAGATTAACTACGGCACAGGCATTGTGGGATATGCTATAGTCATGTTAACCCTCTTCGGCATCAATCTCCTATTTGGGTGAGTTGTAAAATTTCATGTTTTAAAGCACTGAGTTATAGGGGTTACCGATTGCAAAAATGTTTGTTATGAATTTCATTGTTATTATTATTATTATTGTGTTACTACAATATTTTACATGGTCATAACAGCTTTTAATGTGATGATTGCAAAATAAATTTATTCTAAAAACATTGTGCATATGTGCAGGGCCGGATTAAGAACACTTGGGCGCTGGGGCTATAGCAAATCCAAGGGCTCCCCTTTTTTTTTTTTTTTTACACGTACAAGCTCACGTCACCTCTGTTTCTGCTTTTAGGATAAAGCCAGACGATTGCATGGACCTTGGCGTTTCACTTCTCTTCTACGGCCTGTACTTTGGTGTACTCGGCCGGGATTTTGCAGAGATATGTGCCGATGTTATGGCATCTACAATTGGGGTAAATTCTTCAATCAGTTAGCTTTGACCTTTTTTGATGCATTGCCTGATCTATACGGATCTCGATGCTAGTGCTGGTCAAAGATTAAACAGGACTAATCGCATCCAAAAGTTTGTCTTGACTATACTAAGGTATTATTATTATTATTATTATTATTGTTATTATTATTAAACTTGAACTAGCTAAACATGTCAGGCTAAATAATTCAAATTAATCATTGACTTCTGCTGTCTTCATTAGTTTCAAAAACTCAGATTCCTTTACAATTGAAAACGGCATCTTTGGATTTCTTTTCTGCTGGTGATACTGGTGTCCTAAAAAAAAGTCAAATAAAAAGTAAAATAAATAAAAAAATCGTACATATACCTTAGGAACGATATTACAGTAAATGTTGGCGGTTTTAAAACCTTGACTTTTACAAACCGCGGTATACCTTGAAAACGGTTATCGTCTCATGCCTCGTCTGAGGTGAACTATCTGCTTCAGTAGTATGGCAATAAATGTCATGTAAAACAGCATTCAGACGCACATTGTTAGCTTTAACACTGAATAATAAATAATAATAATAATAATAATAATAATAAAGCACATGAGCGGATCATTGTCAGTTTTCTGTTGTTCAGATGTAAGAAGCTGTTTCTAATATATCAATTCGAGATGTTAGTTAGGACGAAAACTCCTTTTAATATGGAGAATATTCCTTCTATCGGGTGCTGCTGCTTTTATTTCTAACACTGTTTAAATCCCTCGCTCCTGTCCTCAATCTGGCAACCTGCGCTTGCTTTTATTTTGATCCAGGAGTGCAATACCTAGTTCAACCACTGGGTGTCAAACTCACCGCACCTTTAAACACGATGAAGAACAGCTGCACAGAAATGAACTGGTGTGTGAAGTCTAATGTAGATCTGCTGTTTTCAGTATTACACTGAGTCCGGGATGCCCACCAAGCACCTTTCAGACAGTATCTGCGCCGTCTGCGGTCAGACCACCCTCGTGGATGCGAACCAAGAGGGAATCATCGAAAACACCTACAGACTGACTTGCAACCATGTGTATCCTTCAAGATTTTCACATGACTGTCCACTAATTCACTGCAAAAACTGACTTTGGTCTTGTTTGTAGTCCAATTCTGAAATTTTCTAGACATTATTTTGCTTACACCATTGGCAGATTGCTCTCAAGAGAGGCCAAGTTAAAGCCTGCATCCAGAATCATCTAAATAATGCTATAATTCTCAAATTGATGTTTAAAGGAGCAGCATTATGTTGTATTTGGGCTTACTTTACAGCTCCGCACTTACCTCTATGAGTGTAATTATAAAAGTATAATCATGAGTCACTGAATTTAAGCTGATCATGTTTATAGATTTTGTTTCTGTTCTTGTTTTGGTGTTTGTATTCACACGTTTGTTTCCTTAACCCCGTTTTCCCTCAGATTCCATGAGTTTTGCATACGTGGCTGGTGTATCGTGGGTAAGAAGCAGACATGTCCATACTGCAAGGAAAAAGTTGACCTTAAAAGGATGTTCAGGAACCCGTATCCTTAAAATAACTTGTATACACAAATACATCTGTATACCGGTCAAATCCTTTAGAAATGTGCAATTTTGAATGTGTTTTTTTTTTTAAATAAGTCTCTTCTGGTATCACAATCGCCTCAGAGCAAGAAGGTTGCTGGTTCGAGCCCCAGCTGGGTCAGTTGGCCTTCCTGTATGTGTTTGCATGTTCTTGGCGTGGGTTTCCTCCGGGTGCTCCGGTTTCCCTCCACAGTCCAAACACATGCGCTATAGGGGAATTGGGTAAGCAAGTTGTCCGTATGTGTGTGAGTGTGAATGAGTGTGTGTGGATGCGTCCCTGTAATGGGTTGTAGCCAGGGCCGGAGCAAGCTGAACTGCCGCTCTAGGCAGAGGACGATCACGTCACCCTCAACCCCAATGTGAAAACGAAAGTGACCGCGGTTGTGAAAATGAAGTGAGGTGTCGCGGACCTCTTTTCCGGCGCACTATGCGCGGATATAACTGAGGACGCGCGGGTGCTGAGGGAGGGAGGGAGGTGTCGCGACACTGCGCTCTTTATTCTGCCGCCCTATGCGCGGATATAACAGGACCTCGCGGATCTCAATTCTGCCCGACACGCGGGTGCTGATGGAGGTGTCGCTGACGCCGCCCTCTCTATTCTGTCGTCTATACGTGAATATATCTGAGGACGCGGGAGGTGTCGCGGACATAACATAACTGCCATAGGGAGGTGTTGCGGACGCCACCCACTCTATACTGCCGCCCTAGGCAGCCACCTAGGTCGCCTCTAGGGATGCGCCGGCCCTGGTTGTAGCTGGAAGGGCAACTGCTGCGTAAAACATATGATAGATAAGTTGGCGGTTCATTCCGCTGTGGCGACCCCGGATTAATAAAGGGACTAAGCCGACAAGATGAAAGTCTCTTCTGGTGATGCGGTGGCACAGTAGGTAGTGTTGTCGCCTCACAGCAAGAAGGTCGCTGGTTTGAGCCTCGGCTAAGTCAGTTGGTGTTTCTGTGTGGAGTTTGCATGTTCTCCCTGCGTTCGCGTGGGTTTCCTCTAACGCCCCATTAACACGGGGCTTCAGCGTCAACGCTTGACTGAAGGCGTGTCTGAAGTTGGGGCTGAAGCGATCATCATAGCAGCGTCAGCCAATGAAATTCAGTCAGCTATAGGCCACTGTCTAGCTGGTGTATTTGCATACAGCGATCTGATTGGCTGACGCTTCCATCAGCGCTTGAAAAGTTGAACTAGTCCCAACTTCTGCAGCGAGCAACACCTCTTGAGCGGCGCCAAACGGATCCTCAATGCAGTTCGGCAACGCCTGACGTCACCCTTTCAAAGTGAATGGGAAGCGTTGACGCTGACGCCCCGTGTGAATGGGGCGTAAGTGCTCCTGTTTCCCCCACAGGCCAAAGACAAATGGTACAGGTAAATTGGGTAGGCTAAAACTAGTCAGCAATCGGCTACTGTCTGAACTGGTGTATTTGCATCTGATTACACCAGCGCTTCCGTCAGCGCTTGAAAAGTTGAGAAATTCCCAACTTCTGAAGCAAGCAACGCCAGTGAAGCAGTTCCGACTGATCCGCAATGCAGTTCAGCAACGCTTGACGTCACCCGTTCAAAATGAATGGGAAGCGTTGTGAATGGGACGTAAGCGAGGTGAGTGATGTGACACCATGCATAAACATGTATTAAACACTTATAACGCTTATATTATAAATAAGCCCCTTTTATTCACACATGTTTGAAAGTAATCTCCTTAACTGAGCCGTCAGATGGGAGCGTCCGCATATGATGTACGGGCAGCTGCTGGACTGGCTGCGGTATCTGGTGGCCTGGCAGCCCATTATCATTGGACTGGTACAACTCATCAATTACATCCTGGGTTTGGAGTAACAGAAGCAGAGCAGAGGGACTGTCCTGCCGGAGTGGGTCTGCGGCGATGACATCTCTCCGCTTTCACCAACACAGGGATTTATTATTATTATTATTATTATTGCTTTCTTCAAGGACTGTCCTAATGTGTTAATAATACTGTGCTAATGTGTCTTCAAATGAAATTCTACTAGCAGTCGGATGTTGAATGTTTTCGTTGATTACTTTTGTCTGATATTTGTTTAAGGACTACTTGAAGCTTCCGTCATTTCCCACATGCACATCGGGTTTTATAGAAACAAGAGAATAAATCTGTGCTCGCCGTGAGGAGCACAATGGACCATGTGCTGTTTTATTGGGTAATGAAGGCAGTTAAATGCATTTAAAGCTCAGTTTGATGAACATGTCGTGTAGATTGGAGAAGTTTTATCTGGATGATCGGCACACAATTAAGATGACTAACAGTATATTGAAAGACACTGCCAGACTCCCTCAGTCAGACGCGGCAGGTCTTGTAGTCGAGTTTAGACGGAAACAGATTTGCATGTTGTATTTTTAAATAAATTATTAGGTACACCTTGTTTAACTCATTATTGCAGACATCTTATTGTTTGATTCGCATGGCATCTAGTCGATAGGGGAAAACACTGACGGTTGAATGATTGTTGGTCTAGTTTTTTACAATGGCAGAGAGTTTAACGCTTGTTAAGTGTGACCGCACACGAAGCAGCTTCCGGGTCTAGTCGCTCTATCAAATTGTATAGAGGAATTACCATGTTGGGCAAGGCAGTGGCGCAGTAGGTAGTGCTGTTGCCTCACAGCAAGGAGGTCGCTGGTTCGAACCTCGGCTCAGTTGGTGTTTCTGTGTGGAGTTTGCATGTTCTCCCTGCCTTCGCGTGGGTTTCCTCCGGGTGCTCTGGTTTCCCCCACAATCCAAAGACATGCGGTACAGGTGAATTGGGTAGGCTAAATTGTCCGTTGTGTGTGTGTCTTTGTGTTTGTGTGTGTGTGTTTGTGTGTGTGTGTGTGTGTGTGTGTGTGTTTGTGAATGTTTCCCAGAGATGGGTTGCGGCTGGAAGGCCATCCGCTGCGTAAAAACTTGCTGGATGAGTTGGTGGTTCATTCCGCTGTGGCGACCCCGGATTAATAAAGGGACAAATCAGACAAGAAAATGAATGAAGGTTGCAGAAAAAAAACAAGAGCGCTAGCATCCCTGCTGAAAAATCCAGCTTAAACCAGCCTAGGCTGGTTGGCTGGTTTTAGCTGGTCGACCAGGCTGGTTTTAGAGGGGTTTTGGCCACTTCCAGGCTGGTTTCCAGCCATTTCCAGCCTGGTCTTAGCTGGTCAGGCTGGGAGATGACCAGCTAAAATCAGCTTGACCAGCCTAGCCAGGCTGAGAGCCCAGCCAAAACCAGCTATGTCCAGCTTAAACCAGGCTGGTCAAGCTGGTTTTAGCTGGATTAAGCTGGTCATTTTTCAGCCTGACCAGCTAAGACCAGGCTGTAAATGGCTGAAAACCAGCCTGGAAATGGCCAACACCCCTCTAAAACCAGGCTGGTCAACCAACTAAAACCAGCCAACCAGCCTAGGCTGGTTTAAGCTGGATTTTTCAGCAGGGATTTACAGCTAGAGAATGACATCTGATGCGGTGCAGAGTTTGTTGTTGTATTAGAAATAAATTATATTGATTACATATTATATATATTATTTACATATAGCTTTCAGCGTATTATAATTGCTCATCACCCAGTGATAAGCACAGTTATTTGGCAAAATTAACGTTAAAGTGAGCAGCGTTCGTCTAACACAGGGGTGTCAAACTTAATTCCTGGAGGGCCGAAGCCCTGCACAGTTCAGTTCCAACCCTGCTCCAACACACTTACCTGTAGGTTTCAAACAAGCCTGAAGGACTCAACTAGTTTGATCAGGTGTGTTTAATTAGGGTTGGAACTAAACTGTGCAGAGCTGCGGCCCTTCTGGAACTGAGTTTGACACCTGTGCTCTAACAGGTCCATCTGCGACAGCACCCCCCCAATGGAGATTGGATAAGAGGAAATGGCCAAGCATCCAGCCCCAATCTCATTGAAACTCCAAGTGTTTTACAAGCGAGAAGTTACAGGCCTACAAGTGTTTGGATGCCTACAATGTTGTTCTGTGTGGTCATGAGCAAGAAATAATGCTCCATGATGACTAGATTCAACACTATGTAGAGCTAAAAACCAAGGCTCTGCCTAGCCGGAGACAAGGAAAGAAGACGGAGCTGTACAATGCCTGGGTCATCATCATCAAGCAGAACGACTGCATTCTGACAGCCAACTGCAGCTGTACGGCAGGGTATGTGAACGCACATGTCTACATTTCATTCTGAGCATTCAGTGTCCGCAGTTTAATTCACCATATTGAACTGTTATTGCTGCAATCAAAAGCGAGTGATGTGTCTGATTCAGCAGAGCGTCAACTCACCTGATATAACATGAGAACTGCAGAGTCCAGCATTTCTAATTAGCTCCTCACTCCATTCAGCTCCATTTTAGCCAAATACATCTGCGGTTGGCATTAAAGCAGTGTGGTGTACGGTAAAATTCATTAGCATTAGTTTTTCAACTTAAATAGTTTGTTGCAATCGGTTTGAGTTACCTTAACTTATTGGGGTTTACAGTCTATTATTATTATTATTTTCTTGCTTTCCTGTTGCACAAATGTGTCTAGATTTTCAGACTGGACCCTGTTTATGATCTACATATTATTGAATGTATATATCTCCAACACTTTTCTTTCAAAGGACTTTTTAAACATCTGCGTTTTATAATCTACCACAAGGTGGAGCTGTTGAATAAGGTTTGACTTGATCGGGTTCTGGTTGACAGTTCTGTGGGCAGCAAATGCCTTGTTGATGTCAGAGGAGAATGGCCAGACTGGCTCGAGCTGATAGAAAGGCAACAGGAACTCAAATAACCACTTAGAAGAACCCACGTGTTGGTGTGGGTTTCCTCCGGGTGCTCCGGTTACAGTCCAAACACATGCGCTATAGGGCAATTGATGAACTACATTGGCCGTAGAGTATGAGTGTGTGTGTGAATGAGAGTGTATGACTGTTTCCCAGTACTGGATTGCAGCTGGAAGGGCATCAGCTGTGTAAAACATATGCTGGAATAGTTGGCGGTTCATTCCGCTGTGGTGACCCCTGATAAATAAGGGACTAAACCGAAGAAAAATGAATGAATGAATGAATGAATGAATGATCTGGCTGTGAGTGCCATGCACAGATCTTGATCAATACACAAATTATTTTCTTAATTACTGTAATAATCACATCACGTCTTTGAAAACATACGATTGAAGTCAAAGTTATCGTCCTCTTGTGAAATATTAATTATTTTTCAAATATTTCCCAAATGCTGTGTAGAACCGATTTCTTTTCCAGCACATTTTAAACAGTTTTAGTTGTTCGTTTTCTAATTATTTATTTAGTTTGATGACAGTACATCATATTTTACTACTTATTTTATATACTAGTATTCAGCTTAAAGTGCAATTTAAGGCTTACCTAATTAGGTTAACTAGGCAAACAAAAAAACAAGACTCTCCAGAAGAAAAAACATACTAGGAAATATTGTTAAATTTCACTTATTAAATATTTTAAAAAGAATTATAATCTCAAAGGAGGGTGATTTATTTTACCTTTACTAATAATCAACTTTTTCAAAAAGTGAATTATATAGCTGCAGATTAACTCACTCACCGGTCACTTTATTAGGTACACCTGTCCAATGGCTTGTTATTGCAAATTTCTAATCAGCCAATCACATGGCAGCAACTCACTGCATTTAGGCATGCAGACATGGTCAAGAGGATCTGCTGCAGTTCAGAGCGAGCATCAGAATGGGGAAGTAAGGGGATTTAAGTGACTTTGAACGTGGCATGGTTGTTGGTGCCAGACAGGCTGCTCTGAGTATTTCAGAAACTGCTGATCTACTGGGATTTTCACGCACAACCATCTCTAGGGTTTACAGAGAATGCTCCGACAAAGAGGAAATATCCAGTGAGCGGCAGTTCTGTGGGCGCAAATGCCTTGTTGAGGCCAGAGGTCAGAGGAGAATGGCCAGACTGGTTCCAGCTGATAGAAAGGCAACAGTAACTCAAATAAGCACTCAGAAGAAAAGTCACTGGTTCGAATCCCAACTGGGTCACTTGGCGTATCTGTGTGGAGTTTGCATGTTCTCCTTGTGTTGGCGTGCGTTATCCTCCTGGTGCTCTGGTTTCCCCCACAGTCCAAACACATGCGCTTTACCTTTACTAATAATCAACTTCTTCATAAAGTTATGCAGCTGCAGATTAACTGTGTGCTATATACACGCACTGGCCACTTTATTAGGTACACCTGTCCAACTGTTCATTAACGCCAATTTCTAATCAGCCAATCACATGGCAGCAACTTAAGGCATGTAGACATGGTCTAGATGATGGGCATCCGCTTTGTAAAACATATGCTGGAATAATTGGTGGTTCATTCCGCTGTGGCGACCCCTGATGAATTATAAAGCCAAAGGAAAATGAATTAAGGAATTTCTCGGTTGTTGCAGCTCTCTGGGTTTTAGAAAAGCACATTATAAATAAAATGTATTATTATTATATTACATTATTATCATATTTTGGTCAGTCTTGTTGGTGTTTTTAAATGTGCTTTATAAACAAAATAAATAAATGAACTTTAAATGTTTGTTTAACAGAAGACAGAAACTGGTTTGAAACAAGTGGAGGACCAGGAGATGAAGGCAGCATGTACATTTAGGGATGAACCGTGTCTTTAAGACGGACTAGAGCATGTGCCGTAAGACGAGGCATTACATCATGTGTGAGATTACAGGCGTGCTTCTCAACACGCTTTGAGACGAGAAACCCAAAATGTTCTTGATTTCATCAGATCTCCCTGCATCTCATGTACATTTCCTTTTCAACATCAGAATACCAATGAAACACACTTGGAGATGGTGTGAGTGAAGCAATATATGCAAATTACACACAACACACGAGCTCGATTTCAG